AGGTGTAAGGTTCTGAAAGAGTTAATGTTGAAGAATGCCTTGGGCACCACTCACGGTGATATTGTCACATGGATTCAGTTGAGGCAACAGTTTAGGATGTCAGAGGAGTAAAATCTATCATCTGGCTCTTCCTCATAGTCTCTGTAATAACTGTTTGTCAGATTAATGTGACTTGTACCTAACTGTTAGCATGCAATAAACCTCACCTTATTTAAGATAGGAGCCTCTTATCTTTCGGCTACCAAGTGGTTTTCCTCTATTACACTAGAGCAAGCAGGGTCTGTCGTCACCTTCAGGAGAAAAGATGGTGGCAGCAATTCTACCAGATAGTTCATCCCGCATGATGAGTAGTGGTGAGGATCCATTTTACAACAGTCTAAACATCCTTAAAAAGAGGCACTTGCATGAGTTCAGTCTGTGCTTTCTCTGAAGCCCTTGAATGTTTGGTGACTATTGTTTGTGCCGCAATAGAAGCAACATCAGTCACCACACTCTGCAACACAGTTCAGTCGACAACTGTGGGACCCAAATACACACAGAAAGTGCTAAGAAATGCAGCAAATCTGGCATCATCTGTGGAGAGAGAAACAGAATCCAATATCTATCTTCTTAGCACGGTACTGGAGCTAGCCATTATTTCCATGCTGAAGAGAATGGGTTTCAAGCTCAATCTAAAGCCCTGTATAAGGTTGATTTTAACACCTCTAAGCTCCTACTGACTGTAGGCTTCTTGGCAAGTCTACCAATTGACCAAGCATTCTCATGTGCATAATCACCAGGTTTTTTTTTTCTGAAGGCCACCCCCACCAAGGTCCTTCTCCAGGTCCTTCGGAAGTGAACTCTGGGGAGCTGGCGTGTGTGCTGTCCTAAACCTTTACCAGGCCACAGGTCAATGATATCAATGATGCACTACTCTAATGTCTGACCTCTAGGTATTCCTCTAAAGTGTACATAGTATCTAAGCTGCTGGCTATGAGTGTGAGATTAAGAGATGATGATTTTCCATCATCATTCTCTTTGACTCCACTTTCTGTACCTCTGCCGGCACAGATTTTTCACTAAAGGAGAAAGGCACAAGGATAGTATGTATTCTGATGGGGTAGAAAACAAGAGGTGCAACTTTAAACCATCTGCAACTTGTTAAGAAGAAGTAATTATGTGAGGACCGGGAAATTGGATGTGAGAAGGATCATAGCAATGAGCAAACGGTTTCCACCCTGCTGCTAGCCAAAGCCTCAGATATGGCTGCTCAAATGATGGCAGACAACACCTTCTCCACTGGGCTTAGGGCATGCAGCCATACCTCTCTCTCACCATTAGGCTGCTTCAGGTTATGCACCATTTTGTCCTGCAAGAAAGTGAGGACTGTGGCAGTGAGTGTGCTACAATGGGTTTGGGTAATGTGGCTATTGTAATTGAATAGCTGACAGTGTGGGCATGCTTTGAGATATCAGTATTGAAATGGTTTCAGAGATAGTAGGAACTGCAGATGCTGGAGAATCTGAGGTAACAAAGTGTAGAGCTGGATGAACACAGCAGGCCAAGCAGCATCAGA